CAAAACATTTCACTGTGCTCTGTTAACTCCACAGTTAGTACCTCTCTTCGTTGCTTCTGCTGGAAAACTTCTCAGTAGAGTGTATAATTGTTGACTGTATTTTCTTGCTGCCTATTGATTCTCATTAATGTCTTATACCATAATTTGGCTTTGCCAATTTGGCTAACTTGTATATTAGTTCTCTTTCATAACAAGTTTGAGCCTTTGCTTTTTTGGTAATGCTCATCTCCTATACAGAGTACCTTTGGCAGTACTCTTGTATTCTGTTGGCCCTCTCTCTCTCTCCCTCTCTCCCTCCCTCTCACTCTCTCCCCCCCTCCCTCCCTCCCTCCCTCCCTCCCTCCCTTCCTTCCTTCCTTCCTTCCTTCCCCTAGTCTGCTCACCTCTTCAGGGCTCAGTCCCTTGACTTTATGGTTTCTATTATACTACCCCTATTTTATTGCATATTCTAGTATCAAAGTTTTTGACAGATACCTCAGATTGAATCCATTTAACATTTATCTTCTTCTCAAATTAACTATATCCCCAGATCAACTTAGCTATTTTATAGTCCTATCATTTTTATTTTTAGTTAAGCACAAAGTATTATTTGTTTATTTTTTAAAATTGATTTTGTTATCTTTAAGTAGTTGTATGAAGGAGTTGCCATGTAACAAAGCAGTATCTTGATCAAGGTCATCCCTTTCATTATTCTTACCCATCCCTCCCCTATTTACCCCTTCCTTCACTCTTCTTAATTTTCTAGGATATCTATTGGATTCATGTCTGCATTTTTCTCCTCTTCTCTTCATTCATCTACTTATTTCCCCTTGACCCCACCCTACCCCTATTTAGAACACCCTTCTGGTAATCTATTTTTTCAGTTTTACTTCTGGTGTTTCTTTTAAATTAAAAAATTATCTTTTAGAAGTTGTACAAAGGAGTTGCCTTTTAGCAAAGCAGTTTATGAATAGAATATATCTTGATAAATGTCCCCCCTTTCAGCATTCTCATTCATCCCTTCCCTACACACCCCCTTCCCTTACTCCTCTTAATTTTGTAGGATATACATTGGATACTTCCTTCCTTCCTTTCTTTCTTTCTTTCTTTCTTTCTTTCTTTCTTTCTTTCTTTCTTTCTTTCTTTCTTTCTTTCTTTCTTTCTTTCTTTCTTTCTTTCTTTCTTTCTCCCTTTTCCTCCCTCCCTCCCTCTCTCCCTCCCTCCCTCCCTTCCTCCCTCCCTTCCTTCCTTCCTTCTTGCCTTCCTTCCTTCCTGCCTTCCTGCCTGCCTGCCTGCCTGCCTTCCTTTTTTGTTGATTGTGGGGCTTGAACTCCTGACCTGGGCACTGTCCCTGAGCTTTTTCACTCAAGGCTAGTGCTCACCACTTTTGGTTTTCTAGTGGTTAACTGGAGATTAAAAAAAGAAGAGTGGATAATTAGAGAGAACAAAAGAGTCTCATGGACTTTCCTGCCCAGGGTGGTTTTAAACCATGATCCTTAGATCTCAGCCTCCTGAGTAGCTAGGATTATAGGTGTGAGACACAGGTGCCAGGCTTACATAGGATTCTTGACTGCATTCTGCCCCTATCTTCTCTCCTCATTCTAATCTCTTATATTTAATTGGTCTTCTTTGTATTGACTTATATTGTTTCCCTTTTCCTTCCTTTTTTCTTTTTACAATGTTAATGATAGGCATTGAATTTTCTTAATCCTTCATCCAGATTACTTTAGTTACTTTCAAAGTGCTCTTCCTGATTCTGGAATTTCTCTTTGAATATATCTTGTGTGGTACCACCAAGTCAATTGTCTGGCTAATGAGTATTGCTCCTTTCTCACATTCGTTGAAGGAACCTACACAAACTAAACCAATGCCTCCACTTTCTGGATTTCTCTAGTAGTTATTCCATATCTTGTTTATTGATGCTCAACAAACACAACAATTTACTCAGTATCAACCTTATCCTGGCTCTCCAGTTCTATATACCTTGAGGGCAGGGTTGTAGTGTATACTTTGAACTCTATTACTTCCTTTTGCCCAATTATAGTTGCTGCTGCTGCTAATAATGCCATCTGATGGAAAGTGGATTTTTGTGATGGGTAAACTGAGAACTTGGGAGGTGGATATTGTGCTTGAACTTAGGAGAACGAGTGCACCTCTTGTCTCCCAGGCAGTAGAAATCTCCTTGGTCCTGGAAGCAAATAGAAGAGCAGGTGTGAAGGCACTGGATGAAGAAATGTGCATGATGGCAGAAATGATCAATTGCTGAATGCTTTTAGGTGGCTGAAAAACATCACTATGATCCTAGTGGATAAGTAAAATGTCAAATGCCTTATCTTTTGATGTTGATAACTTTACCTTCATATTCAAAGCAGGAAATGCAACAAGTGACTAACTAATCTCTTCTATGTCAGAGAATAAAAACATTTGAAAGTCAAATGGTAGATACTTGAAGGTGGCTGTAAAAAAATACGGGAAGGAGCAGTGGCGGTTAGTCACCCTTGAAGAACTCAGAACTTAACAAACATTTGGAAATAAAATTAAGTTATCATGAAATTACTCTTGGGTTGAATTACCTATAAACTGGAAACTATAGAGTAGTTGTGATGTCCAGGTTAGGAGATTCATATACCTTAAGTTCCCCTCAGAAACAGATGCATTTCAAATGGGAAATGTTTAATCAACTCCAACTTACTTTTTAATCACTGCTCTAAAAGAAACTTCCCTTTCCCCTTTTACTCTTTTTTTTTTATTATATCAATAGATACAATCTGCTCTACACAAATAGACCATGCATCAATAAGTACATACTTAGCCTGAGCTATTTTCCATGAGACTCATGAAGTATTTCTAATTGAAACTGAACAAGCACCTACTCAGCAAGGCCTGTTCTTCATCCAGAAAGGGGCTGCAGACATAGAAACTTTATCATTTAGCTAGAAAAAAGGAGTGACTACAAAGTTGTGCAGTGTCATTTCTTTTTAATTGCTGAAGTACCATTGTTTGTTATCTCATGCTTATTGAAGATGTAAATGTCACGTTGAACAGAATAGCAATAAGTTCATTCCTGTCTGATGACTTAATCATAGTAATCACGATAATACATGCCAGTTGAAGTTAGCTTATTTAATAAATTTGTTGTGCTTACAGTTCAAGTGTCTTCATCTGCAACACTTAAGACTTTTAGTTGACTTTAAACTTGTATTATCAGTGCAGGAAGAATCACTATTGCAGAATAGATGTTACCTGTGTGAGGGTATTAGTCATTCAGCACATGTGTGGGCGAGCCGAGGCTGAGTTATAACCTCCTGCATAGGGAGGCTTAAAAAAATTGAACAAAATGTTTCATTTGTCTGGGCTTCCCATCTTTGACTTATCTTTGGGTATATTTTTGCCTTGTAGCTTTATGATCTTCTGAGGTACAGGGAAAATCATTCATCCCTATTTTTTAGTTTATTATGCCAGTAAACTGGAGCTTGAACTCAAGGCCTCTCACTTGGCTTCTATCCCTGCAAGGCTGGTGCTCTATCACTTGACCCACACATCTACCCCACCTCTTGCTGAGTTAACTGGAGATAAAAGTCTCGCCGACTTCTCTGCCAGGGCTGGCTTTGAACATCCATCTTCAGATCTCAGCCTCTTAAATAGCTAGGATTACAAGCACGAGGCACCAACACTTGGCTCCCTGTTTTATAGATGAGAAAACAGGCCAGGAGAGACTGTCCTGTCCGAAATCACAAAGGTGGTTCCTGGGCCTCCTCTTCCACATCAAATGCAGCTGCCATTCACAAATCATTCACATATGTATGCATATGTATGTATGTCTAGACATAGACATATGGATAATGAACACCTGAACTTGTTGCTTCTGTACAAAGGACTCTGTAAACACCTGGAGAAACACGATGGCTTGGTTTTGTTCCAGGGGCAGTCAGTAGTGGTTGTTTGCTTAGACTAAATTGTCTCTTCCCTTTCCTTCCATAGCTGAGGTGGAAAGTGTGGGACCTGAGGCCCTTCCTCCCCAGCAGAGCTGCACAACAATCTTTGCACAGAGAAGTTACTTGGCTAGTCATAGCTCAAGGATAAAATGGTTATTTACCAGTTGGCAGACAGAGAGAAAGAGAAAGAGGGGGGGGGGAGAGACAGAGACAGAGAAAGAGAGAAAGAGAGAGGGAGGAGAGAGACAGAGACAGAGAGAGAAAGAGAGAAAGAGAGAGGGGGAGAGAGAGACAAAGACAGAGAGACAGAGACAGAGAAGACAAAGAGAGAGAGAGACAGAGACAGAGAGACAGAGAGAATCGGAGAAAAAGAGACAGAGGAGAGGAGAGAGAGATTGAACTGGTTAGAAATGGTTTAAAAAAAGGAGAGACAGAGACATAGAAGCACAGAGAGACACAGAGATCGGGAGCCAACAAAGGCCTAAGACACCTTATAAATGGGCTGTCTTTCTGAGAGGGCTCCTTTCTGAGGGGCCACCCTCTTCTGCGAAGATGGAGACGCACCCTAAACGGCAATGCGTGTGAGGTCTCTCCACGGGATCTCAGTTCCCAGTCAGTTCTAGCAGAGGCAGTGTGAAGTTCCCCCGGGGGGCCTCCTCCTAGGAGAAGGAGAACGCAGGTGTTTTGTCCTGGGCTGGCTTTCAGGGTGAGGTGGAGGGGTTCCGCGAGGGCCAGGCGCGCCCAAGTTGAGCGGCTACCCTGGGCGCTCCGGGGCTTCGGCCAGGAGGGCTCGGGATGGCCGGAGCAGGCGGCGCGGGGCCGAGCGGCGATCTGGGTGGAACAGGTGCCTTTCTCCGACGTCCTCCGCGCCTCGCCAGCTGCAGCCTGGCCCTTCCCGGGGTGTGTGTTGGGGGGGGGCACCCCTGGGCGCCCTTGGCGTCCCTGTCCCTCCCTCCCCGTGGCAGGGCGGAGGGAGGCGCCCGCTCATAGGTAATTATTGCCCTGGGGAGCGGGGGTGGGCGCGCCGGGCGGAGGGAGGGTGGCGGCGGCGGCGGCGGGGCGCGCGGGCATAAAGGGGCGCCGCGCGGGGGGGCCCCAGCGCCCGGCTCCCGCGGCAGCATGCCCGCCAGCGCCCCTCCGCCGCGCCTCCCGCGGTCGCCGTCGCCGTGGCCGCCGTGGCGGCGGCCGCTGTGGCTGCTGCTGCTGCTGCTGCTGGGCCTGGGCGGCCGCCGCCTGCGCGCAGAGCCCGGCGACGGCGCGCAGACCTGGGCCCGCTTTGCGCGTCCTCCCGCCCCGGAGGCCGCGGGGCTCCTGCACGACACTTTCCCCGACGGCTTCCTCTGGGCCGTGGGCAGCGCCGCCTACCAGACCGAGGGGGGCTGGCGACAGCATGGCAAGGGCGCGTCCATCTGGGACACGTTCACCCATCACCCCTCGGGCCCCCCTAGCCACCCTCCGCTCGCCGACCCCCCGTCGGGCGCCCCGTCGCCTCCCCCTCCTGCCACTGGAGATGTGGCCAGCGACAGCTACAATAACGTCTTCCGCGACACCGAGGGGCTGCGCGAACTCGGGGTCACCCACTACCGATTCTCTATATCCTGGGCGCGGGTGCTCCCCAACGGCAGCTCCAGCGCCCCCAATCGCGAGGGGTTGCGCTACTACCGACGCCTGCTGGAGCGGCTGCGGGAGCTGGGCGTGCAGCCCGTGGTCACCCTGTACCACTGGGACCTGCCCCAGCGCCTGCAGGACACCTACGGCGGCTGGACCAGCCGGGCCCTGGCCGACCACTTCAAGGATTACGCCGAGCTCTGCTTTCGGCACTTCGGCGGCCAGGTCAAGTATTGGATCACCATCGACAACCCCTACGTGGTGGCCTGGCATGGCTATGTCACCGGGCGCCTGGCCCCCGGCGTGCGCAGCAGCCCGAGGCTGGGGTATCTGGTGGCACACAACCTTCTCCTGGTGAGTGCGAGGAGCCAGGCCACCTGTAGAAGGGGCGGGAGAGGGGGGCACTTGGAAGGTGCCAGGGAGGGGGAGATGGAGTCTCCAGCTCATAGAAGGCCTCGCTTGCTTGAACTCCTCTATTGTGGGGTCACCCATAGCAGCGCCTCTCAGGGGGAACAGAGCAGCGCCCCCCAGCCCCCAGCATCCTTTGAAGTTAGAAAGCACAGGGAACTCGGGCCAGGGTGGAGTGGGGTGTGCACACAGAATCAGGACCTCCTGTATCAAAAACGTCATAGGAATCAGTTTTTCCAGGAAGGAAAGGGAACTCCTTTGCCCGGGTGTTGAGGAATTCCTAGAGCTAAGGACTAAGGACAGGGGTGCAGTTGCTAGTAGGGAAAGAAAGAGAGTTGGAAAGAAGTTATCAACGTGTACAGGTGAGCCTTGCACTCTGCCAGAGCTCAGAGTTAATGCAATAAGTCTGTCTTGCTGGTGGCAAGAGGCCTAACACCATGTAGCTGTCACAACCACATCTTCAGGAGGGTGGGATGTGGTGGCAGGGTGGCCGGAATTGCACCCATCGATCTTGATCAGCAGGGATCTAAAGACCGATTTAATCTACTCTAAAACACAGTTAGACGTGAACAACAACAGAACAGACTTCAGAGGGGTGCAGGTTGTCCCCAAAACATTTGTGTCCACACAGTGCTGTTTCTAGTTGAAAGTACTCATTGCTGGTATGACTTAACAGGCTGACAAAAGTGATCTTAACACCTTTGTGCAAAATATCTCAAAATGATGACACCAGGAAATAATGCTATCTCCTGATAAAAAAAGTCCCTCAATTATCTCTTCCTTCCCCTTCTGGTTTGCTAAATATTCAGATACCCATTAGTTTGATGGCTCATTAATAAAGTCAGCTTGCTGGTGCATTTTCTAATGAGTTTTGTATCATGATAGAGTATTTCATGTACATATGTAAACATTTCACGTAAGTGTTTACATGAACAACTTTTGTTTAAATGTATCTATTTTTGGTGACTTTGGGACCTACTAGAAGCTCTGTTTTTAAATTTAGAATCAATCACATGTTCTGAACAAATTCAAGATGAAGACTACATCTAAACACTTTTAATTAAAGCCATAGATAATTGAGGCAGAGCAGTACTGAGCTATTGAATTGACTTAGTCCTCTGAGCTGCTGATAATGTAATAAAGGCTAAATTCGATTATACGTCAGTTTCACAGAACCTGATGTTGCCTTTGCCCATACCACAGTGCTGGATTTGTTTGATAAATTGTGCTTTTCATGATTTTACCCTGATATATATCTCTTCAAAAGGGTACTTTAGAGCAATGGTTCTTCAGTATTCCAAGCTGTCAATCCTATTAAGGAACCAACAAACCCTAAATACCACCAATTAATAGTTGGTATGGAAGAAACAACTTTGTGTGTGTGTGGGGAGGAAGGATTGGAGAGGTGGGGAGGGAAGGGATAGTAGGGGAAAAACAAAGGAGGAGGTAAACAATGCTCCATAGGAAATGTTCTCATTGTCTTACTCACGTAACTGTAACCCCTCTGTACAGTATCTTTACAATAAAAAATAAATAAAAGAAGAAACATGGGGAAAATTGTGCCATGTTTTGAAGAAAATGAGCAAATTATTAGTTCCTGCCAACCACAAGTGAATTGATGGATAGGTTAGTGGATCTAATAGAGCATCTTTGACAAACCACTCTTTAAAATTTAAATACTACAAGTTCTCTAGTAGACTGTATGCATACAAAAACAGCCATCTGTTATAACAGTAGGGCAATGATCATTGTCTTCATAAGACAAGAAATTGTGTGAACTGACTGGTTACTATGGTATTTTTAAATAATCATCTTCCTTTAGGTTTTCATGCCCACTGTTGGCCCTGTGGTTAACTTCTTAGTTATATTTTTGAAGAATGACACACAATTTTTTGCCAAAGACTAACCATCCTCCCTAGAAATACAGTGGACTTTGTCTTCATTAGCAGTTGGCTTGGTTTTGCTGATGCTACAAACAACAGGTTGGTGGCTGTAAACAGATTACTTTGGTTTTAAATTTCTTTGGGTTTGTGATTTAAGTCATTCTTGGGTCTTACTTAGAATCTTTCATGCTGTTTCCAGGGTTCTTTGTTGCCTTGGTATGAGAGAAGGGATGGGGATGTTTGACTTTATCTGAAAAGAAGAAAATGTCTGCAGATTTTGGTAGGACATTTCAGTTGGGGCTTAGCTATTGCTGTTTGGTAGGTTAGGAGCCACTGAGCCCTTAGCATATTGATATGTATGTAGGATCTAATGCTGGCAAAGAATAAAGTAAGTTGACATTTCCCACCTATGTTTCTGCTTATTACAAGTGGGCTAAGGAGATTCCTCAGTTGGACACCCCCTCCCCATTCCAGAATCATTGACTGATAACTTGGCATGTGGAAGGCCGAACAAACAAATAAAGCGAGGGTCCTGCTCTCAATGGAAGTCTCTGTGATCTTAAGTGGGTTCCAGGTGCTGAGTGTGAGCCTTGACAAAAATGGTATGTCTGTGTGTGTGTGTGTGTTTATAAGGTGGGATACAAGAAAGATAAAAATGGTGTGTGGGTGGATGTGCTTATTAAAAGGAAGTATTTTCCTATAGAACATGGAGCCCAGTGCTTTGTGCATCTGAGTATAACCTAAAAGGAGGAAACATCTTCTCTATCTGGCTTGAGGTTAGACAACTCAGCTTTCATATCTTTGGAAATAAGGTTTTTGATGCCTTAGAAACCCAGCCCTTAGAAGCCAAGTTCCAGTGGTTCACACCTGGTACTGAGGCTGAGATCTGAGGATCTTGGTTCAAAACCAGCCTGGGAAGACAAATTTATGAGACTCTTATCTCTAATTAACTAGGAAAAAAAGCCAGAAATGGAGGGTTGGCTCAGGTGATAGGAGTGCTAGCCTTGAGTGAAAAACCAAAAGGGAGCTCAAGGCCCTAAGTTCAAGCCCCAGTACTGGCACAAAATGAACAACAAACAAAAACAAAAGCAAAAAGCCCTCCGAGCAGTACTTCTGAGGGTTTGTTCTGCCTTTGGGTTTCTGGATGTACCAGGGTAAAGTGAAGAATACATCAGTCTACAACCCAGTCCCTACCACTGGGAGTTTTGCAAATATTGACTAGAATTAAGCATTAACATTGAAGCACATGTCATGGCTGATCTGTCTGCATCATGCATCTAACCCATTGTGCATCAAACCCATTTTGTGGTCAGTCATGGGGCTTGAACTCGGAGCCTGGGTGTTGTCTCTGAGCCTTTGTGCTCAAGGCTAGTGTTCTACCCCTTTGAGTCATAGCTTTGCTTCTGGTTTTCTGGTGGTTAATTGAAGAAATGAATCTTAGAGACATGCCTGCTTGGGCTGGCTTCAAACTGCGATCCTCAGATCTCAGCCTCCTGAGAGTTAGGATTCGAGGGAGATGCTGGGCCACCAGCATCTAGCTCATTGATCTTTCTTTCTCATCACACTTTCCTTGGCTTGGTTTCTAGATTCCCCCTCCCTGTTGTGTCTCTCAGCTTTCAATGACTCTCCATTGCTTCTTTCTCCTGAGTGTAGTGTACAGGGTTTTGTTCTGGGCCTCCCATCTAAACTCATTCTAGGTGATCCCTTTGAAGACTGTACATTATGACAATCTATTCTGCATCTCCAGCCAGAACTTCTCTCTTGAGCTTCAAACTCAAATGGACAAATGCCGTGACCACTAAGCTAATGGCTGAGTTACATGGGAAGCATCCAAAACTACTTTATCTCTGTTATGGAATCTGGCTCTTCCTGATGGTAGGGCCCTAGTCTTAACTTTGCCCTCTCTCTCCTATCTTATTTGTAATCTGTCAGCAAATCCTACGGTTCTACCTACTAGAATGTGTCCCTCCCCTCCTCATTTATACCTACAACTGAGGTTCTTGCCATCACTGGGTTCTGGATCCTCACTGGTGTCCTTGTGTTGCTCTGTGGCCTGTTGGGGATTTACCATTATGTGGAAACAAGGCTGTATCTTCCTTATATATGTCACCTTTCTTCAAGAACCAGCTGGCACACTCCACTACCTTGTATGAATTCCCATAATACTTTGCTTCACAAAGCTTTACTAATGCATTCTTCCTTTCATTTAACCTTTCTCTCCTCCCTCCCCCTCTCCCTTCTTCTTTATCCTTCTTCCTTTCCCTTACCCCTTTTTTTCCTTTCTCTCTCTTTTTTTAAATCACACTAGCTGGGGAATTCCTTAAATGAGGAATCTTTCATTGATTTTATCCTAAATCACATCATGCCTTTGGTAGGTACCTGGGGTGCCTTCTGTTTATTAATTAGCCCGATTTTTGCCATTATAAATTTATACTTTGGAGATTTACCTTCTTACTAACCCTTCTACATACTTTACAAAGAATAGGGAAAACCAAATCCTAAGCATCTCTGAAAGTGAGTAAACATAATGGTTCATTTATAAATCATGGCTTTATTGTAAAAAAAAATCCAATTAAAATGATCTGTAGTCTACTATATAGTATTATGAAGAAGCTTTCAGACTACCTGAGTGGTTAAGTGTCTTGGCTGGCTGTAGGAGTAGATATTGGAAAGAGCTTTATTAACCAGTTGAATTTTCATTCCTCAAGTGATTAAGTATAAACAATTTATCTTTGCAGTTTTCAACGATATATAATAGGTATTTTTGAGGAGCACTTTACAAGTTTCTCTCTCATTGAAATGTACTTGGTATATGGCTGGAACAATCAACTGGGTTGAAAGTTAATGTATTGTATAGAATATGACTGAATTCAATATGCATTTAATCAGAAACAGTTAAAATACTTCCTGAAGAGTTTGGCTCATTCTTTTTTGAATATTCGATTAACACAATGTTTTCTGAAGGTTAATAGTCAAGCCCAACAAGAAATTAAGATAGAAAAAGAATTAATAAAATAGTTTTAAAATCATAGCCATGTTTTAACAATGTTTGAAAAAAGAAGG